TTCCACCATTATGACGCGGTTGTCTCGCAGCACTTACCGCTGTGGAAAAATCGCTTTCGCCCGCTCGATTTGCCCATGTCGGCCGGACCCAGTACTCCTTCAAGAAAGCTCGCCGTCTCTTAAGGGTGATGAGCAGCTTCAAAGGACCTATCTTCCTTTGTCTTTCCATTTCACGACGTCGGAAATGATTCTAATTGACAGACGTACGCAAAACATCGCAGACAAAGACTACACACGTGTTTCGCTTTGCCGATGCGCCACGGATCCACTGCATGTGACCCTGTCCGAGTCACGTGCGCGCCGCAAGAAATAACGCAATGTTTACGCATGTGCATATAAAAAAAGTGCTGCAAGGCAATAATAAATGCCTTCCCTTTTGATGTGCTACAACACATTTTGTTTTTTACATTCCATATTGCTGACCACGCGGCGTTTTTGGGACGAGTACATGGCTTCATGCCAGCAACAGTGGAGTTCACTCGCCGAAGTTGTCGCGTGAATGAGGTTTGCCTGCGCTAACGACTGATCGCACGAAGACAGTTTTCGCCACATCGCTTGTCGCTGTCACGTGCATTTTCGTGCTTATGAGGTTTGGCCTTAAATGTTAGTCAGTTGCCCCAGATGGCATTGGCAGGTGAAATACTGGTAGTTGCATCGAGCTGGTAGACTATAATTTCCTTATCATGAATATCACAGTAGCGCATTTGCTCCAGCAAGCGCATTTCGGAAAAGCAATGCGAAACCGTTTACAGGAACTCTCATTCTCACCGCAATGGTCACGTATTGACCAAGCAAGGCTTGATGCTGGGCGAGTTGGTTGTCTCAAAGGAATGCGTATGCTTCCCCGTGAGTCCAGCATGGGAGACAGAAATTGGCTTGTACTGTTACGAATTCCTAATCAATAAACAGGCATGGTTGGAGTTTGCAAGACATGGGGTCACAGTTCCCTTCGTCGTAATTTATGGCCTGCGAATCGACCGGGACTCGCAAAAATATCCCTTTCTGACGCATGAGTGCGATGTGTCTTTTCGGCGAATCGTCTTTTTTTTTTAATAATGATGTGCATTCGTGAAAGCGTGTTATGAATAACAATGCCACTATACTTGTTATGAACTTATCGTTTTCAAAAACGCTTACCTTCTTGTACGGCTACTAAGCGCAAGCCTAAATTCAGCTTCATAAGCTCGTCAGCCCTACGAAGTCAGCCCTACATCAGCCCTACGCTATTTTCAGACATCACAGGTTCTAAACATGTGCAATTTCTAATTATTTCTGCTTCAAGCGAAAGCGGTGGCATATAAAGAGCGAGCTGAACGAAGATAACGAGGAGGTGCTCGGTCGGCGATAAACAATATATGCACTGCGCAGAGACGAGCAGCTGCTGATTTGAGCCGCCAGTGCAGCATCACATGGTTGCATGGTTGTTGTCTACGATAACATATGTTCGTCTGCCTAATTTACCCCCCTCTCCCTTTCTTACACGTGTCAGGAATCATAAAGAAAACAGAATGCCTAATTCCTCTCATTCCCGTCGTCCTAAAGGAACTCTTTTGTCGAAGGTGCTCCCAACTAAACAAAAAAAAAATCCTCGCCTTCCTATGTCACAAAGAATTTTGCTTATATCATGCCCTGCAATCATCAGAAGTTCATTCCGATTTGCTTCGTTATTAGTGGCTGAAGTTTCCAAGAACCTACGATGTCTTCCTGCTGTCATCAACGCAATAAACACTGTTTGGTTCTGCGGGTTATTCCTACCATTGACGGGTAGGAATACCCGGCACAGCCGACTTCAAGTAAATAGTTCGCAAACGCCCGCATCCTATTGAAGAGAGCTAGCTTGATTCTACGTATAGGGAACGGCGTCGAGCGGCATCGCTGCACATTATGAGTGCACCGCAATATACGCGCGGGTGTTTCTGAATTTCACTACCATGGCAATGTGCTTGCCGTATGTGGAAAATATAACACACGTGCTCGAGCTAAACAGTACGTCGCATGACCTTCTTATAAGGTATACCCTCGACTGCTGGTTATAGGGAGCGTATCTTCTTTCTTCTTGCCAAATTTACACGTGTAGCCTATAATCTTGCAAACTTCGAGCACAGCAAGGTGGATTGACCGTAATATTCTCGCCAGACACACTCCTGCCGCGCACGTAGATCGAATGGCCCACATTTAATTGACGCAGAGCTTGCATTCTTTCTTGAGGTGTTTAGATCGTAGCACTCAGCAAGCACAAACAGTTTTCTTGTTATTTGAATGCTTTATGTGTGCCTCCTTTTAGATATATATGCTGTTTGTCGCTTTGGATTTATACAACCAAGCCCAGAGAACTACACTTCTAACCTGTACTTTTCGCAAAAATAAATAAAGGTAGGGGACATTCCAGAAATACTTCACGTTTATAGTCACTTCGCTTCTAATGCACGTGCAGTGTCCACGTTTCCGCTATCTTGTCTGTCATCGCTGACCCCTCGCTTATTCGAGGGATGAACTGGAGTGAGCTTGCACTCTCCGTCTACCAACGGATGACAGGGCTCCAGCACCTGTTCGTTCACTGAAACACGCCAGCTCTGAAGAGAACACTTTCAGCGTGCGCTCGGCTGCTCCAGCTCTCCTGATTGTAGTTGCATTAGCGTGTTACATTGTTCTTTAATTTTCAATCTCCAGGTAAGGCAATGTTAACGCCGCGTGACGATATGGTCGTTTCTGGCCGCAATGCGGGGCTACGGTGTGCTGCAGTGTTGCCCTGACCCGTTCCATTGTTGCCGCTGTATTGTATGATTGGCGACAATGACAGCCACACGTATGCCGAATGCGTCATTGCACAAACATCTTATAGGTATTAGGATAATGGAGATTATGTGGCTGACTGATTTCAAGCGTATTTTGCTGCCTACCCACAAAAATATGCCATGGCTTGGAATGTTTCCATCACATGGTCCCCCAACTAATCAACCCCTTCACCTGCCCTCCGGGAGTGCGCCGCATTCCCTTGGCAGGATGAGTGACTGTGCTCTCAGTGCTCTGCCCAACACTCCTCGCTGTCCTGCCCCTCTACTCCTGTTCACTCGATGGAATTCGCCATAAAAATGCAATCGCCTTCGAGCGCAGTAACTCTCATATGCGAGACTGCGTTTATATAAAACTAACTTCCGCGCCAAGAATGTGCCCTTCAAGCTGCCATGTGCCACCGGAAAAAAACATTCCGCTTGAGTTAGTACAAAGATTTCCAGTTGGTACAATTTTCGTTCTTTTGTAAATTTTCAACACATCTGTTCTTTCAAATTCTCGCCTGAGATATGCGCTAATACTGTACTCTCAGTCTGAAATATGCACCCATTGCTCCCATTCTTTGACCTTGATTGTTCCGTAACACCAAGATTTAGCATGAACCAAAGAATGATTTTTAAAAAATTGGTTTCACTCTCGAAAACAATAATAAATGACGTTTTGGTTACGTTTTTGTTCTGGTCAAAAACAGTGTTCTTTTTTACGTGTTCGGTTTTTCTTCCGTTCGGGTACAGTGGTTTTAGGACGTCATGGTGCCCTTGACGGATGGCTTATGGCTCCCGCGTAAGTAATGGAAAGCTAACAAAATTGTCTCCGCGTACGCGCGAGCGAGCATGCTTTGCAAACGAACAAGTTTGCCCACACGCTTGCACAGCTTCTTTTTTTCATTGTACGCATGCTCCTCCCTTTGCGCCTGAACTGCGTACATTCTTTATCTTTTTTTTTCAGCCCTGCATAATTTTTCAACGAGCTCAATGTGAAATCCTTGCCCGCCCTTTCCTTTCTTTCGCTTCACTCTTTCTCGCTGCACAGCACAAAACTTGAAGTGATGCATGACGTTCCTGAAATGATTCTGCGACAGCCTTTGTGCCACAGGGGCAAGTTCACTGTAATGTGGACAGGTGAAACGAAGGAAAATGGAAGGCACAGTGCAGGGTTGGATAAAGTGGCGCATAGCTTAGCAAAATATTTGGAGGCAATTCTATTTAAGGAAAAAAAAACACTGCCAGGCGTTGACCCTTCCCAGCTGTCCTTAATTCCCGGGTTGTTTTAGGCTTTGACCAAGTGGTAAGAAAAACGGAATGAAACATGAAAGAAAAAATTGCGTAGTCAAGTTGAAGTGAGCAGGCTTTCTTGAAGCGTAACTAGGGTGGCAGCTGCGGGCGATAGATAGCTTATTCTCCGTTAAATAATTGAGCACGTGGCACTACCACTTCTGCATGCTACGTTTACGCATGACGATGAGGAGGCATGCAGTGGACCCTGCGGTTGCGGCACAGAGCGAAAGGCTCCCGTACGTGATTGATATGACTGGCTCCGACGTTCTGTGAACAATGATTAAGTTGGCAAGGCTTAATTCCTTCTAGCATGGGTGGCCTAGAAACGTAGTCCTCAAATCGTGCCAGCGTGAGCACTGCCTATTACGATGGTCAGCGTTCAAAATACTATTGCCTTCAATTAGACAACGCACTGTTTTTGATATTATTTAGGATGTGGCAGAATGTCCAAATAGCGTCTTCGAAAGGCTGTCACATTTTGAGCACACGAGAAGGAACTCTGAATAATGAGGTACACTCAACAGGCTTCTAATTTGATTCATAGCAATGTACAGCCATATCTACACTGTGAAAGCTTTTTTTTTTAATTTTGTGTGTTTCGTTTTTTTTTTGATCTTCAGGTTAATCCGTGTGAATGCTGCGTGACAATATTGTCATTTGTGGTTGTGCTGCCGTAATACAGCATCTTGCAGTGCTGCCCTGAACCGTTCCACACAGCCATTTGTTATGGGCACGTTGGACAGTATGACATACCACACTACATGCCGCCAAGCATCACTAGCTGGGCACACTGAGTGATGACCGCAGGCATTCCACAGCAATGGCTAACTCCTGACCAGCTGCGCAGGTCTAGAATGAACGATCGTCTTGCATAACATCTAACGCCACCTTTTGTTCGTGTGAATTGCGAATTTCAAAAGGACATGAATAGCGGATACGTCGCTAACACTTTTTATTCTTTCTCGAGTCTGCAGCACTCGAGCCTTGTGCGACCGCGTCCCAGAGGGTCACAGACGAGCATTGTTTCTGGCCCGATTTCTTAATCTGAAAGAAGAAAAAAAAACGCCGCAAAAATTCGCATTCTACAAAACTGGCGTTTAATTTGCAGTATCAATGAGGAATATTGACACTGCATAAACATAGCGACAATTACAAAACAGTTTTTAGATCCGCAGTGCCATCTCTCGTGTTGCCTAAATCATGATAGCAAAGTGTGAAATCAACAAAAACAATTCTGGGATAGACACGGTGGACGATTATACCCACCAATGTCAATGTTGAGGAAAAAACTGTTTAATTTGCCCAAACAAACGTGGTGGATACACCTATAAGTACGTGTCATTAAGACCACCCTATTGAGAAAACTGACACACGTTACGCTAACCGATGAGCAACCCCAGTGGATGTAAGTGAAAAGTCAGAGGCAGGGCACAAGAATTGGAAAAAATCCAAGAAAACCAGAAGTTGAGAAAAAATGAAACTAGGCGTAATGGCGAGCCTAAATAATATCGCTCGAAATACAAAGGACAGTTTTGCATAAGGGTGAAAGCTGCCAAAGTCGTTGAAGTGCCCATTAATGACAAATAAGGTTCACGGAACACAGCAAAGTCACCCCCACAGTGGCACTTACGGTGTCCACTCAGTCGACTAACTGAGCTCACTGTTTATGTATATATATATGGCAAAATGAAGTCACGTGAGACTTTTTTTGTAGATAACTCGTTCGTAACTCACATAGCGTAGGCGTCCGCACCAAAACTCTTGCAGCACAGTAAAGTCATGGCGCATGAAGAACCTTGCCTGGCAAATTCCGTTCACCTGAAAAGACAACGTAAAACGGATGGGAAACTGACCGTGAAAACAGCTGACGTTACGACGTGCTGCAAACAGTCGAAACACTTGTAGCCGGCAAATTAGAGACTTAATTGCACCATCCTCAGCTGCACTGAAGAAGAAGTTAGGAAAAATGAAAAAAAGCCTAACTGAACAACCAATCGATTGAAGGGGTCATTGAAAACCCACTGTTAGAAAATGTGAACATGGTAATGGCAAGATATACTGGAACAAGTCGAGCTGTCTACCGAGCTAATAAATTTCACGCGTTATTTCTAAACAGGCTTAAAACAAACCGAATGCGTCGCAATGAACTTCGGCAAATGTATACAGTACGTCTTGCTAAGATTCCGTGGCATGAAAATTTAAATATGCAAAGGTCACCCTTAAAGAAGGACGAAATACGAACTTTTCGCTGTCCATGCAAGACAGCGCTTACCTTGGTACTGATTGGATGACATTCGGAGGCCATGTAGAAGCTGGGCCCCATGCAGTCACTGGGAACTGTGTGAAACTCGAGGCGGACGAGAACCCCTTTAGAAATATCTTCTAGATGCTGAAAAAAAAAAAAAACGTTAAAGCAAACTGAAAAAGCAAAAAAAAAACCAGAAATGTGGGCTAACGGAGGCCCATTTGGCAGCGTATCGCGAAAACATCCAAGTAGATTAGATTCGAGAACTTGAATGGATTGCGCAACTTGCGCTATTGATGTCACTGACAGTAAGTGACATCATGTACTTTAAGCACACGATCTATTTGGCCCTCTGCCACTGTAATGACAAGGCAAAGCATATTTATAATATTTGATAGAGAGACGATGGGTTTCTTTATGCACATATTGCTATGTATGCAATACCATTCCAGACGTACAAAAACACAACAACTTGGCGTTTTACATGAATGAGGTCAGCTAGGCTTGCGTTTTTCTTTGTTCGCATTTGTGGCGGTGTGCTATATTTTGAACTGCAGCTTCCAATAAGTCCACATCAACACCTTCTATATATAGCTTCAAACTGACAGATCCATACTCACGAGACGAGATGATGAATAACAAAAAAAAAACAAACGGCGGAGGTTGGAAGCACAGTGTAGTTGAAAGTTGTTGAGCGAGTAAAAGAGCCTGCATACGCTGCTTACGTACGCCTACCCATGGAAATTGTATAACACGTAACCGTCTAAGAAGAAGCACGGGTGTGACCATTTACAATTTAGAAATGGCTATAGATGCCAGAAAGCCAGCTCCAAAATAATTGGCCTTGAAAGAAAGGTGTTTCGAGCTTTGTTTGGCGACATAAGCAGTGGTAGAAACGTCACCATGGCCACAGTGCTTAAGACCCATGAATTCTGCATGCAGTGCAAGTTCACAGTGAAAACGTATGCTCGAAGTTGTGAGAGATGCTGTGATGAAGTGTTGTAGAAATTTGGTCACAGGGGGCTCGCATTTGGTCACACATGGCCAGCGTGCACTTAATTTCCATTTACATTCTCGAAAACCCCTATAGTGGGTGTTACATAAGGGAAAGTTGATACGCTTTCCAAATGGCAATGAAATGTAATAATTGTGTGGTACACTTCTCAGAAATACTGCAGGGCATGTAATTGCGGTATCCCAATGGGGTAGGCCGTGCGATTAAGCTGTTGCACGTGGAATGAAGGGATCGGAAAACGTTTGCCTGCATAGAAATGTCACCTACCATCCGGTCAGAAATTGAGCACCATAAAAAACTATAAAAGCGCAGCGCATAAACGCCCTTAACTGAGCCTCAAGTGGTAACCCGTGTTCGTCAAACGGAGGCGAAAAAGCATGCGGGCCCAGGTGGTCAGAAGACCTGAATGTCAATGTGGTTTACCCCAATAGAGTTGCAGCCATCCCGCCGAAATAATGTGGCGCTGAAGCAACGTTACTAGCGCGCTATGAGTGAGCAGAACCGAACATACAACGCTTTCAGAGTTTCAGTGAAAAACTTTGTTACTGTAACTCTACAGAACGCCACTAGAATGCCTTTTACACAGAACCATGACCAGCTGCATTATCCACCGGACGTTAGAGGCAGGAAATAACGAACTCACCTGCCGACCGACCCGCGTAATGTTGAAGATGGTGTTCAGGCGACTGGCGGGGAACTGGTTGTAGTGTGTCTGCAGAACCGCCTCAGCCAGTACCATGTACAATTCATTATTGCGAAGTTCGCGCTTCGGCACCAGGACGCACTGGCCAGGCGTCGGTTGTTTGCCGTGTTTCGCCACGCATCCTCGCATCATATCCACTAGCTTGTGGCTGTCGATGACTGCGATGCAAAGAATTAGGAGTACGGTGAACCTAAACATGTTTCTCCGGATGTCTGGCTATCGTCGAATCAAACTGAGCTTGTCGACAGTGGTGCGGCGAATTGCGGGGAAAAGCAGCAGCCGGTCTGTCTTATATGGCCCTTTTACGGGAGAGAATTGATCTATAGTTAAGCTGGTAGCGATTTCACGGTTGTTTTGATATAGATTGCAATCTCTGGGTGACAGTGTAAGAAAAAGATTTTTTTTGTGTGTTCAAGTTTGAAAGACATCTGGCTGAAACGCTGAGAATGTGTCAACAAGGCAGAAAGTTTGGCTCACTGATTCTCATTGTGTAATCATATAGTGGCGCTTCTTCCTGTGCGCACGCGTATATTAAACAGGACTTCTGGGAAGCCCGTGCATGTTTTTCTTTTATATATTTTATGGTAACAAAAACATGCTGATCTTCTGGACGAAATTCTGACTGTTTCGTTCGTTCCAGATAACGAAGTTATTTTGGCCAAGCAGCCACTCCCACATCGTCCTTGTTAGACCACATCTACTACGTGCAATCGTAGCGTTGACGAGAAAAAAGATACATTGCACACGATGTGTTTGAAGCTGTGCAGACAAGTTCCGTAACGAACAGATATCATAACAAACTAGGCTTGCAGAGCAGAAGGCTAGATAAGTTTATTGCAATCTTGCATTCAAAATAAAGGAATAGTTAGCCGCCATGGCGTCCTATCATGCAAAGACAGGAAATTTCTTATCAAAGGTAAGCTTGAAAGCTTCGTGGGATATAATTACCACTCCTATTTCAAGGAGACCAACCGCATACTGCAAACAATTTCATTTGTAGGCTTCACTAAAAGCTGTAAAATGCAACCATTTGTCTGTCCACAACAGCAGTCTTAGGAATGTCTCACCTTGCCGTTGTCAAATAGTATATCTGGCGCCCGTAGGCGCTTTGCCCCAGGGTCTCACGTAACTCACCAACCCAATATTATCCATACGTCCGTCCTGGCAAGGCCTCCCCCCCGCCCCCCCCCCCCATGATTGTGTGAGAGGGAGGATGTGTTTTGCTGGTCGTAAGGTCCAGCCGTTGAAAATGGCAGCATAGAAGCTCGCAGGCTATGTTGCACTTCTTTTTCTTCGTCCATACTTTGCTGAATGCACCGGTTTTCATCCAGTCAACATCCGTGCTGTGAAAACAAGAAAGGCAATACACAAAACTCTGCTTTGAAAAGAATCACGAACAATCGCGGACCCTATAGACTGCTGTCCACCCACGTAAAGCTTCGTCACTCTGACTTAAAACATTGCGGCACAGTCTCATTGCAGAGCACGGTAACGTGATCGTCAAAATTAGAAATGCGAAAAAAAAAAGCATTGATGCAACGATAAACAAAGACATTGAGCTCTCCTACAATGACATCGTTCTTTCGGGCCCAGTCAGAAGTCGGACTGATGGTCAGTCCTTTCAGATTGGTTGTATCGATTGAAATAGTTAGGAGAGAAAAAAGTCACGTGATGACACAGCCTTGCAGAGAATCGCCGTGAAATAAGGAAGGGTACACTCACTTTCCAAATACACGAAGGAAATGAGAGGAGGCTTCCTTCAGCTACCGACATAACGTGGTCTTCTTAGAACCAGGTAGTGGAAGAACCCTCCCTCCGACACCATTACATTTTCCAAGAATACTGCAGCTTCAGATAATGGCCTTAGGTCTCAGGGTTGTGACAATAGCAACGACCATGGGTGGGGCCGGCTTCATTTCTTGGGAAGTCGAGGTTTATCTGCCCGTCTCCTATTGAGGTTTTCATGTACACGTGGTGTGTTTCCCGAAAAAAAAAACTGATTCTCAGAAAGGTGGTGACGTCGCGCACTTCATAAACTTTGGGGGTCACTGGGTGGTGCCATTTGCAAATTATCATAAAATATGCCTGGCACCAGATAATTTCTACTGACAATAATAGAGGCGGTCGACCCCTAGTTTTGATTTCAACGATCTCCTCAGGAGGCGCTGATCGGGACCTTGAAAAAGGCCCATTTCAAGCTTGTCCCGAAGTCTCCCAAATTTAAAATATTTATTTAAGCAGTAAACCAAAATTTTTGGCTTGAAGCTATCTGCCCTATTATAACACTTAGTTCTTTAGGCTTAGAGAGTAAAACAGTGCAAAAACAGGATGAAGACGTGAGGATGCAGTGTAAAGCTAGCGAATCACCCGAAATTGGAGTTAGAGTGACGATAAAAGCATTGTATTTGTTGAACAGTTACTCACACTCCCCTTAAGAAAGGTAAACAAGTCCCTACTATCTGTACCAAATACTTCTATGAATAAGTACTAACCAGTGCGATTATATATAACTTATACTACACGTTTTCAAAAAGGAATCCGAATTTCAGCGTCGTAGAAAGTGAGCATGATCTAAGCTGTCGTCGAGTGTAGTAGCTCTGATATGTGAGATTACTGCTTATATAAAGCAAACTTCCGCGCCGGCAGTGTGTTCATTATGCTGACATGTGCCACCGGAAAACGAAAGTCCACCTGAGTTTATACAAAGATTTCTGGCTGGTGCCATTTTTTTTCGCTACATTTTAAGACATCCGTGCTTTGAAAGTCCCGCCTGAGGTACGCGCTAATACAGTGCTCTGACACATGCGCTAATTGCTTCCTTTACATGACCATGGTTGTTCCGGATTGCGAAGATTCCGCGTGAGCCCAAAAAAGATTTTTTTAAATTTGCTTTTGCTCAAGAAAAAAATGGTTATATAACGCTTCGGTTACGCTTTCGTTCCGATCAGAAATCTTCGGTTACGCTTTCGTTCCGATCAGAAATAGTGTTTTTTTTTAGTTTTCTTTCTGTTTCCATACACTGGTTTCAGGACAATCAAGCGCTCTCATTGGATGGTTTCTTGATTTATTTGTGGGGTTTAACGTCCCGAAACCACCATATGATTATGAGAGACGCCATAGTGGAGGGCTCCGGAAATTTTGGCCACCTGGGGTTTTTTAACGTGCACCCAAATCTGAGTACACGGGCCTACAACATTTCCGCCTCCATAGGAAATGCAGCCGCCAAAGCCGGGATTTGATCCCGCGACCTGAGGGTCAGCAGCCAAGTACCTTAGCCACTAGACCACCGTGGCGGGGCGGATGGTTTCTTGCTTCAGCGTAAATAACGGACAGCTGATAAAAAAGGCACTGCGCAGGCGCTAGCGAGCACGCTTTGCAAACACGTTCGACCACCTCTTGCAGAGCTTGTTTTTTTCATTCTAAGCATGTTCCTCATTTTTAAAAATTTTTTTGGTGGCCATGAATTATGTTCCAGCGAGCCCAATATGAAATCGTTATCTACCCTTTCTTTTCTTTCATTTCACTTTCTCTCTGTGCGCACCTGAAAACTTGAAAGGCTGCATGACGTTCCCGAAATGAATCTGTTAAAGCCTTTGTGCCGCAGGGCACTGGAATGTGGACGGGTGTTAAGCAGACTTCGGGGTTCGGCAAAGTGGCGCATAGCTCGTTAAAATATTTGGAGGCAACTAAGAATAAGGAGAACAACTCATCCTATTTATCTTCCTCGTTTTCAGTTGCGCTGTAAATATTTCTTTAAGAAGGGAGTTTTTTTTTTGTTCGAGTGGCCCGGAAAACTGGCATTTTTTCGTCGTCTCGAAAAGCCGCATGGTGAATGAAGCCCTAAGGCTTAAGACATGTGCACGCCACCATTTGAGGGTGTTGATGTTTTCTTGTTGTGGTGTATTGTAACGTTAATAATAAAGTCGTGAAACATCGTATGCACCAACCTAAGCGTTTTAATGCATATTCGTCTACCGTAACACTGTACAAAACACAAAGCTTAATAACCTAATAGGATGAAACTCACCCCGATTCCTAAAGTAGTGCGTATTTGGACACGAATATCGCACACACACAGCGCACTTGCCGTGATGTTGAGGCTATGACGGTGCACCCGCTAGAGCCCGATCATCTCGCCCGCATCACTTCACTTTTGGCAGCGCGGTACTGTGGGACGCCAAATAAACCGGTCGTGGAAAACTTTTGTTTTGGGAAATTCGCATGCGCGCATCGCGGCTGCCATTCATAGTAACAGCTTCACGGTTATTAGGGCCATTGCAAATACTCTAGCAAAGCCCTAAAATATTTTTTATTTGTTACCAGCAGTCTTTTACTGGCATAGCAAATTAGGGGTCAGGGGGGAGGGGTCAAGCTTATTCGCAACTCAACATCGATAATGGCAGTATTGAGTGAGCCTTCGTTATAAAGGTTGATAATAGCAGACACCTGAGTGCGTAGGAGTAGTAGACTGATTTTCACCACATGCTAAATGTGCATTGTGACCACCTGCGTGACCAGTCAATAGTGTTCTTCTTTTCGGCGTCGATCCAGTGGAGCCAGGTGTTGATAAAAGAGAAAGAGGAGGGGGAAAGCTGGATTGCTGAGCAGTTGGGCAGTAGAGAGAAAATGCCCAGAGTGGCGGCTTGCCATATGTGGAGACAGCAGGGGTCAGATATACATTTTCAGAAAAAAAGAGCGAGAGAGCGGGACGAGGCCGTTTAATTGTATGTGCCGCAAAATTCCTGGCCTCAAGCGCTGTGACTGCTGAATGAGGGGGAGGGCAGAGCCGCTTGTCGAGTCTGACCTGGAGCAGCGCCTCCTCTATTTTTTCAATGCCTGGGCGCAGAGGCGAATATCAATGGGAAGTGGCCGTCAGTGCTAGTGCGGCATTTCGCCGCCAGGTGCCGCAACAGGAGTAGAAATGCCTCGTCATCTTTCACGCAAACGAATGCCGCGGCTACATTCGAAGCTGCTCCGTTTACGGCTGTATTCGCATTTTTGAAGAAGCATTAGAATCTTGAAAACAAGAATACCGAAGCACTGGTTGTTCTAGACACCTAGCTCATTTCAAAGGCATGTGTCCTTCGTGACTACTTCATCGAGGCGCTCGCTCGTTGTCTGCTAGGCCGATGATAGCTGATGTCAGTAATCCGCGAAGATCGTTTTGTCACCATGGTGTTTGCTTGACTAAGAGTTGCTTTTTTGACTAACTGGAAGTGGATTTCTGAGATAAGCTTTTGTCTGGAGCTAATACTAAGAGCTTGGGGGCCTAATGTTCCCCG